GTACTATATACCAGAAGCGAAGAGGGTAAAGATACCTTAGAGGCCACGGCCAAGCCCCGTAAGAAGGGTGGCCGTGGGAAAAATAAAGCTAAGAATCCCACTACCGCGGTATCTACAGCTATACCTTTAGCTGCTTTAGCTAACCGTTCCTCTTCTAAACGCCGCTAATCTACTCTATAGAGAGGTTAGATCTACCGCGTATACGCTATACCTAGCCACGATATTAACGCCTACTTCTATCTATTCCCGGATACGGTATATAATAATTAGATACCCTTTAAGAGCACTAAAATAACCGTCTAACGGATTCTTAAAAATAACCCCTTACTACACGCGGAAGTAGAAGAACTACGCGCCGTAAAGAAGATGAAGAAGGATATAAGCCGGGACTTAGTATAGCTTAAAGAGGCGTGACTTAACTATAGCAGCGTCCGCAGTATACGTAGCAGTATCTCCCACGCCGCTAGCTTTATAGCAGGAAGCGCTACTACTAGTTACCCTCTTTAAACCTCTACTATCCTTAATTCCGGCGCTATTATTTATATATTTAACGATTTTTCCCGTTTTTCTGATTTTATACCCGCCACGCCGGGAGACTACGTGGTCGTAGGTAGTTCGTCCCTGCCTATTAAAGGTTACGGTAACGTGACCATGAGATTAAACGGACTAATAGGAGGCCTTGATTTTAGGCTATTAAATATCGTATACTACGAGGATTTTACCTATAATTTAATCTCTAACTAACGCCTACGTCTTCGAGGATACTAGTAGGATTAGAAGCCACTAAATAAGTATATTCGGTGTTCCGATAGATCTATACTATACTAGCTAAGTCACCGCTTCGATTAAACCGTTATTAAATACATGCCCTCTAACCAATCTACGGCTACTTTTCTAGGCTCTTCTTCTTCTTCTTCTACCACCCGAAAAGGCGTCTATAAATCGACGATACAGTATCTAAGCACTACGGAGGGCATCTTATAGTATCTACGTCTAAGGCACGCAGGTCCTAAACCACTTCGGCACCTAAAAGAGTAGACGCAGGGGGTTAAAATCAAGGGACTAATAACTATTAACTACGAGGCCTACGAGCTTATAAAGATAAAACGGTATATTAATAGGCGCCCTCGCACTATACCTGCCTATATAGGGGAGCGATAGGCGATTAACTTCACGGATTTTAAACGAACGTCCGACGGAGACTCAAGGTTTATATTTTTCACCGACCGTTATAGTGGTTTTACGGCCACCTATATTATAAAAAGTAAGCTAGCAGTGGATATCCTCGTAATAATTAAGGAATTCCTCGCTTAGTTAAACCGCTAATTAGACTATAAGGTGCGCGTTTTCGAATCTAATAATAAGCTAACTTAATCCCACGATATTACCTAATTCCTGCATAGCGAGGGTATCCTTTTAGAGGTATCTATTACCAACACTTAAGTATAGAATAGGGGTACCGAACGCGCTACTACCATGGTTATTTTAAAGGGTCGTGCGATGAATATCCACACTAAATTACCGCCGTTTATATAGCCTAAGGCTATTCCGACGGCCTTATACGTCTATAACCAGACGCTATAAAGGCAGTAAAAGGATTAGAAAACGCCCTATAAGGTCCTCTTTAAAAGGAAGCCGATTTTATTATATCTTTAAGCTTACGGCTATAAGGCGTACGCGATAATAAAGGACGCCTAAAAGGCTACTAATAAGCTATTAAATCGTATCGCTCCACGCGCCTATATCGGCTACCTTATCGGCTATAATTCTATTAATATCTTCCGTATCTAGGTACTTAGCCTACGCTGCTATAACCGTGTTATTCGAATACGCGATATAGATTTTAATAAACGTGCCTTCTTTAACGGCGATATCGCCACCTTTAAGGACGACCTCCCTTAATTAACCGAGGACTAATTAGAAGACCTAATTAGTTAGATCGAGTAGGAGAGGGCTAGAAATTCACGGCCGTTTACGGACGTATAAGCTAAGGACCCCCCCCCCTTTATATAACTGCTTATTTTGAATTATTAGATCCGGGGATAAACGCCTCTGGATCCCCTTCCTCGACGGCTTTACCGTTAAGGTTATAGTCCGTAATACCCGGCCGTAAGAGGGTAGAGGAGGCTATCTCGAGTTAATCAAGATAAGATATAGGTCACGAATAGTATAATTTAGCCGGTATAACGCCTAATTACCGTCTATATCCGCCCGATCTATTACTTCCTACTCTATTAGTAACCCCGCTATTAGTTATAGCGCTAATAGTAGCCGTTATATTAGGAAACCGTGATACCCCTACGGCTATAGGGTTTTAGGATAATGGAATACGGTACTATAATACCCTTATAGCTACGGCTATAGGGCTCCTATTAAATAAAGGAGCGTAACTAATTCGGTAATAAGATAGCTAGAAAAGAGATTATTAGGTTATAGTATTTAACGCTAGCCGTTACACACCTAATATATATATATTAAATAGGACTCTACTAACTAAATCACGGTTAAAAAGGTCTACGCCTATAGCGTTATAGCGATACTTAATAATACCCCGCGAATCTATAGCCCTGGCGGCAGCTACCGGAAGTATATCCCGAGAGGCTATCTTGGGAAATATAACCCCGGCGGTTATTTCGGCGGGTACTCCGGCAGTTACCCCGGCGGCCGTAAAGATCTACCGTAAAGACCTCCCTCCTCCTCCGAAGAACCCTTACGATATACCCTTATATCCTTACGGCCACTTATTCCGATAAGTATAAGAAGACTACCTACGGAGCCACGAGGAGATAGGGTCGTGGATATAGGTACCGGCGTCCGTAGCAGATAGATATCAGGTTCTTAATTCGATATAGGTAATAATATATAAGTTCGATAAGTATAGATTTCGATATAAATATAAGGTAAGGCTTATAGTACGAGGAGATTAGTAATATTAATCCTCGCTTAAGGAGACGTATATAGTAATACTAGCCAGATAGTTATTCTGCGCGTTAATACCTATCGCCGCCCGCTTTAACCTTACGCTATTATAATTTAATATTATAAACGCGTTTATACACACGCCCCTCTCCTATAATATCTTTATATACCCGCCGCTATTTAGCCCCTAGGAGTTATTTACACCTAAAAAAGGCGTTATATAGACTTAAGGAGTCTCCACTACTTTAGTAAAAGCACTTTTCGGCTATCCTTTTAGCGGACGGCTTCTAAATAGTGCCGTAAAAACCGTGTTATTTTCTACGCCGCGGTTTAATCCTATTCTTCTACGTTAACGATATCGTTATTACTTATAAGGAATAATATAAGGCGTAGATAAAGCAGGCCGTTAATAACCTATAACGCTACTATAACCTATAAGGTAGCGATCCTCCATAGTGGTTCCTTAGTATTAAGGTTATTCGCGACCGCGTCGCCCGTAAAATCTAGCTATTATAACACGATTACGTTATTAAGTTAGAACGCTTATTAAAGCCGAATAGTAAGTATAATGGTAACTATCGCCTAACGCACCTAATTAAGGTTATAGAGCTACTACCCTATTTAGGGACCTTAACTAATATTAAAAGCTATTAACGGAAGATAGGATCTATACTATACGTAGTAGTAATATCGTGGCCTAATATCGCGTTTATAGTATCTAGGCTATACCGGTTTAACGTTAATCCAGGGCCTATTTACTATAAGGCCGCCGATTATCTAATCCTCTATCTAATTAATAGCTAATTATTTACGTTAGAATTAGGGGGTAATAATACTATCGAAATCTATACTAACGCCTTATTTACCGATAATACCCTTAATCGAAAGAGTAGTTAAGCATATATCATACGCTTATTTATCGGTATAATAGCGTAGCGCGCTAATAAGCAGGATACGGTTATAACGTCTATAACGAAAGCAGAGCTATTAGCGTTAGTATAAGGTGTAAAAGAGGGTATCTTTATATAACGCCTATCACTTAGTATAGGAGTGCAATTTAACGATCCGGAATTAAGGATCTTATACGATAATAACTAAACGATTTAATTAGTTAATTAAGAGATTAGTATATTAATAACGCGCCTCCGCTATATCGATATCCACGGCCACTAGTTACGTTAAGTAAAGGAATAAGGGTAAATACTCGTAACGTATATTACGAGCGCGGAAATAGTGGTAGACGGATTAACGAAGGCGTTATATAGCGAGAAATTTAAAATATTCAGGTCTTAGGTAGGCGTGATAGATATACGGGAACGGTTATAGCAGAAATAGCTAAAGGAAGTCCGGATAGAATATATAAAAGGCCTAGAGGATGAATTTAAGGGCGGCTATAGCGAATAGATTAAATAGCTAGATTATCTGCCGATTACGAATAGCTTTAATCGCCTAACTAACGTTTAGGGCGATTAGGGGGTGTGTTGAATAGACTATAGTCTTTTCGGTTATGTAATAGGCCGGATTACTAAGAGTATAATC